GTAGATAGATAGATGCAGTAGAGATAGATAGGGTAGATACGGTAGATATAGATAGATAGATAGATAGATAGATAATAAATATAGATGATAGATGGATGGATAGATACATGATAGATACGGACAGACAGACATAGAGATATAGAGATGGATGGATGGATATAGCAGGGTCATAGGATCATAATAGCTATAGCGCACACACTGCTAGAGGGAAGTTTCCAGAAGGTGGGTTCCAGCAGGAGTTGCCAAGCGTCTGAATTTTGATCACATGACCGTGGGGATGCTGCAACGGTTGTAAGTGAGAAAAACAGCCATAAGTTGCTTTTTTTCCGTGCCGTTGTAACTTTGAATAGTCACTAAATGAACTGTTGTAAGTCGAGGATTATCTGTAATGAATTTTTTTTTTAATCATTGCATCCACTATCTCCCGTTGTCTGTCCGCAGTTGGTGAGAATAGCCAAAGTCTTGGGAACAGAAGACCTATACGACTATATTGACAAATACAACATTGAGCTGGACCCCCGTTTCAATGACATCCTGGGCAGGTAGGGTGGAATGGATTGAGAGCCAAACATGTCCCACAAATTATGTCTCTGTGTGGATGGGTGTGTTAGAGGAAGGGAGGGGAATGGAAAATCCAAGAAAGTCCAGTTGCTGTAGGAGATGACCAGGCTGAGCCGAAGGAGAGACGGGGGTGTCAAACACGTCATAAGCCACGAATCCCTACGTTCCCACAAGAGATCTAAGTCCAGCCCGCCTAGGATGCCTTCTTAGTTTCCACTCATTTCCCTTGACCGTTAGAAGCTCAGATTCTTGTAGCAAACTTAAGCTAGCAATAATCCTTTATACTCGTTTGAACTTCCCGAATATCCTGATTGACAGTTGACTTTTGGAACATTATCTTTGGGATCCTGGTTTTGGAAAATGAGCCTGGGGACACAGAGATCATCAAGTGGCTGGTTCGATTCTCTCTCTCTCTCTCTCTCTCTCTCTCTCTCTCTCT